GCCCCGGCTGAGAGTGATCTCGGGAGCCGACCTCTAAAATTCAAGCCGGTTTTAGGAAAATCGTACTTGCCGGTTCATGGGGTAGTGAAAAGTAGCTTTATCAGTACGTAACCCTATACGTAACCCCTCTTCAAGGTACTTAAAACCCTACTTGCAAGTGTACCCATGAACCTCCAAGCAGATGTGTGAAGGGGCTGCCGGGCCGCATGAAGACCAATGTAGGGTTTAGGGCTAGGGTTTAGGGTTTAGGGTTTGGGGTTTAGGGCTTAGGGTTTAGGGTTTAGGGTCTGCCGAAGCAGTCGCGTCATGTCCAGGCCATCGGTCAAGCTAACTGTGGGAGGCAAAGCAAACCCTAAACCCCAAGCCCTAAACCCTAAACCCTAAACCCTAGCGGGGGGGTGTCCCTTTTGCGAGTATTGTCAGGTGTCCTCCTCTGGCCTACCATGTTGGCCTTTGGCGCCCCACTGAACGGTAAGCCGCGCTTTCTCCCCATCACCGCAAGGTGGACCCCCGGTGGCCAAAACCCTAAACCCTAAACCCTAAACCCACTTTGCGCCAGCCCAGAGTAAGAGTCGAAACCCTGGACCCCAGCTTTCCCGACACTGGTGCAGGACTCACGAGATCCTCTGGAGGCCACTGTTAAGGTTTGAGGGTTAGGGTTTAGGGTTTAGGGTTTGGGGTTTAGGGTTTAGGGTTTAGGGTTTAGGGTTTAGGGTTTAGGTTCAGGGGTTGAGGGTTTGGGGTAAGTTTGGGGTTTAGGGTTCCAAAGGCCACCGATAAGTAGTGGGTTTGGGATTCCCTGGTCCTCTTCCGCTTCTTCTGAACTCCTAAAAAAGCCCTTCAGTTCGAGCCCAACAACTGCTGAACAAAAAGCTTTCAAGTTGTTCAGCATGTACATCTGGGTCATTGTTGAAAATCATTTTGCATATTTATGAATACGTAAGCGCCATAAGGAACAAAAAATAGTACCCCAACAATGGTGCAGCCATGACCTAAACCCAGAGTTGCCCCACAACTTCTGAGGCTACTTTAGGGTGTAGACCAGAGGTTTAGGGTTTAGGGTTTAGGGTTTAGGGTTTAGGGTTGTTGTACAGTAGGGTTTGCTTGTCCCTCGGTAGGCCGAGGTCTTGTCGGCTTTTGCCGGACCTCAAGAACCAAACGCAGGGTTTAGAGTATAGGGCTTAGGGTTTAGGGGAATCTCAGGTTCTTTACAGACTCTTACTCTCAGGTTCCGGCTTTCAAAGTTCAAAAGGGGGGGGCGCATCAAGCCAGGACAAGCTCATCAAGATCCAGCCACAGTGGGACGGGGATGTCCTCCTCTTGACCGCAAGGTGTGGTCTTCACAAACTCAACGGGATTTGCCTCGAACTTGGGGCGTCTTTGGTATGGGATTGAAGCCAATGTTCGGGGCTGAGGTGCCAGGCCTACTTTCTTCTCCACCATCGTGTCTGAGAGCTGTCATTTCTGCCGGCTTTTCACAACGGAGCACCACATATTACGAGCAACCAGCTCTTGGTAGCCGAAATAGCGTCGACCCAGTCTTGGGCTTTTTATCTTATGGCCCAGATGAGCTGTGAAGCGTTACACCAAGCAGCCGACCTATAACCCCATAGGTCACAAGTCTCAGAGTTGGCTTTTGAAGACCCGATGCAAAGTCTCAATCTTCTGCCTCTGCGACGCCCAAGTCTATTCAAAATCAGGCCTCCAGCTGCGATCCTACATGATGGTTCTGATGTCGTACACCTTGATGTGCTACTAATCATGTTAATGACAATGGTTTCTTTGTCATTTTAAGGGTACTTGAACTCAACAAGGAATAGAAACTTAGATTCTAAATACCATCTCAACCATGAACTAGGTCAGTCCACTGATGTTCGAGCTCTGCATGGCAGGAGTACGGCTGGCAAGGCCTTGCCAACGACCCGCCGCTTCCTCCATGACGAGGACCTCAAGGGCTGAAGCTGCGCAGCACCCATGCAGCAACATAATATAGGGGTCGGAATAATCAGTAGTAGTATTCCCTTATTGTCCCTTTTTTTATACTATAATCACCCCCCAAAACCTGTTCTAATGATTAAGGCCCCGATATAAATTCAGCTCCGTAGAGGTCCGTCCCACTCCAGAACATACTGGGTTGGCGCAGAGCCACAACCTGCTGGTTTAGGATAACCCTAAACCCTAAACCCTATATCCTACACCCTAAACCCTAAACCCCAAAACCTAAACCCTAAGCCCTAAACCCTAAACCCTGTCGAGGAGATGATCATGGAAGTGACAACTCCGAATGGAGTGTCGGCCAAGCGCATCTTCGCACGCAAGGTCGGTCCAAAGCCCAGGGTGAAGAACTCCCCTTGACGGCGCTGGGTTTAGGGTTTGGGGTTGGGGGTTTAGGGTTTAGGGTTTAGGGTTCAGGGTTTAGGAAGAGGGGGTCACGAAAACTCACGGGTTGGGTTCAGAGTTAGCTTGAAAATGCAGAGTGGGAGCGCGGCGACCTGGTTCGAGAGCCCCAAGCGGCCCACAACCACTGCTTGCCACTTTGAGAGTCACAGTAGGCGGCGGGCTTTGTATGCAAAACGGCTGAGGCTTGAGATTGTCAGTCAAGTTTGCCCCTTCCACTTCCACCCCCAACCACAGCACCGGGTTTAGGGTTTAGGGTTTAGGGTTTAGGGTTTGGGGTTTGGGGTTTGGGGTAAAGGGGTTCACTGAAGTGAACTTGCAGCTTGAAGCGTTGAACTCTAAGCGTCACGAGACCTGCTCCCCACATGGATGAGCTGCACATCCTCACCCGCAGGACAAAAGCACGTCCTGAACGACCGGACCGGTGAGAAGAAACAGCTGACAATTTCTGCAACACATGACAATAGGGTTTAGGGTTTAGGATTTAGGGTTTCGGGCTTAGGGTTTAGGGCAAGAATAGCAGAACCCAAACATAGATGATCCCTACAGCCAGGAGACGAGACTCGGAAAACATGAGTCATGCAAGTCGAGTCCAGAAATCTGCCAGCGTTGGGCGTGATAGGTTGGGTCTGGAGCCCATAGGCTAGCTACCACAGATGCCCCCGAGCGCCAGTAGGCAAAGCCACAGTTGACTCCGAGACTTGCAGCATCCGTACTCAGTACATTCGCACTCAGCTGTGTTGGTCTACAATTCCTTTGTCAGAGTTGGGTACCAGTTTAGATCTTTTTAAGGGTACTTAGACCCTACAAGGAATAGAAAAAATGATCGAATTTTTAATAATATTCTCCCAACCATGAACTAGATTCAGCCTTCAGCACACATCTGTGAAGCTTTTGCGGTCAGAGACGAAGGCCAGGGGAAGCCCACTCCGAGATGCAGGGTTTTGCGTCTTTCGGATTCTACTTTGGCGGGTGTAGAGTACGGAAGGCACATCCTGCATGGGTTTAGGGTTTAGGGTTTAGGGTTTAGGGTTTAGGGTTTAGGGTTTAGGGTTTAGGGTTTAGGGTTTAGGGTTTAGGGTTTAGACATTCTTCCTTCATGGACACTTTATAGGTACGGTTGTAAGCCCCCAAAATAGGCTCACAAGTGTATAGTTACCACGCTTACAGCCCTGCATGCAAAGACTTGGGGCCCCGCAGCCTTTCTGTATAGCTACCCCTGAACCTTCAAGTAAGGCAAACTACCCTAAACCCTAAAACCCTGAAACCCTGAAACCCTAAAACCCTAAACCCTAAACCCTAAACCCTCCCTAAACCCTAAACCCTAAACCCTAAACCCAAACTACCCACGTCAGATGGACTCCTGGCCTTAGTCCTATATCCTGCGCAGGATGCACTTGGCATCGTCTTTAGGTGCGTACAAGTTCTGTACATGGCCACAACTGGGAGGCACCACCGGCGCCAGACTCCGTGTTTAAGCGTCTAGGGGTTAGGGGGTTTAGGGAGTTAGGATGTAGGGTTTTAGGGTTTAGGGTGTAGGGGCCCACTGGGGCATCCCACATGCAAGCGACTCCGAACCTTGCAGAGCGACGGGTGGTGTCCGACACATGCGGCTGCACTGATGGGCTGCGGGAGGGAGAGGGCGACGAAATCAGATCTGATGACGGTTCAACACCAACCAGCACAGTTGTAATGAAGTTGATGCGTGAGCTGCTAACATGTTAGAGCCCGCTCAAAAGTTCAAGGTCCTGGGGCACTAAGTTAGTCACACGATGTCACACGCTTTGGGGAGTGGCCTACGCTCGTAGCCCTCTACTCTGCCTCTCAGCTCACTCCGACAGTTTCTCCCCTGCTAACTGCCTGGCGATGGCAATGTCTCAGTCTCTCTGGCTTTCCGTAGGGCCGCAGGGGTTGCGAGCCCGACTCGCTCATGTCTCAGGCACACAGAGTTCCTACTTTGTGTCTTAGTTCGGTTGCAGACATGGCAAGGCCAGGTTTTTCAACAAAGCTCGGTAGGGTCTGGGACATGTTATATGTTCCCTTCCTGGGTTTGAGAGGATCATATTCAGGAAGACTTTTTTTAAGAGGGTTTTAAGGGCCATTCCTAGGTACGGTTGGTTAAAGAAGTTGTGTGCCTTCCTTTGGGCACTTGTGAAGTTTGAAAGCCACCGCTGAGACGCAACCTTCAGCCAAAGCCAGGATGAAAGGAAAGTGGGTCGAGCAGATAACTGCACCACTAGGTGATGCATGGTCTATGGACGTGGCACGTCATCAGCTGATCTAACTGATATCCCGGCTTTCCTGAGCAGGAAGGGCAAAGTGCCCTCCTGTGCCCAAGCTAGGACCGTGAAGCGGGCGAGACACGCCCAGCAGAGCGAATTCCGCAGCTCCAAAATCAAGTTGCGCCCACCTCCTTCAGGGAGTTCAACCCAAGCTCCAGACCTTGGTCCACAACAGAAGAATATCAAGCTTAATTATGGCGTTGCCGTGCTGCAACATTTTTCTTGCACTATCAGAAGACTATCTGGCTACCCGGATGTAAGAGAACATGGGCTTTGCCTTGGCCTTGTGATTCCAGCAATCTCCCATCTTGACGGACTCAGGTCCATGTTCCCTGAGGCCAGGCATGTAGGGTACTTTTCAGAGTGAAGGGGAAAAAGAGGGTCTGCAGTGTAGGACTGCGATGTTTCGGGTTGAGGATTAGGTGTTGGTCGTTACCTGGTCGTTGAGGGTGCCAGGGAGGGATAACTAGGTCTGTGGGCGATGACTTGAAGATGCTTGGGGTAGGTTTTGTGCGGCAGTAAAGACGCTGAGTTTCACACAAGGTGAAATTGAATCCCCGCCCCCCCCCCCCACTTTTGGGGACTTTATTCGTATCCGTAAAAGTTTGCACGTGTCTGAAGGGTACCTCTTAGATCAACCACCCAATATGACAGTGACGTTAATAAACTCAACTTGGCCCTGGGCTTTTGAGCAACGCGGAAGAGGCGTTGGGGGGGGGGGGGGCGGGGGGGGGGGGGTGGGGGGTGGGGGGGGTGGGGGGGGGTGGGGGGGGGGGGGTGGGGGGGGGGGGGGGGTGGGGGGGGGGGGGTGGGGGGGTAGAAGTGCATGTTTTGTAGTTTGCTGTTTTTGTCTGCACGAGTGGGGGGGGAAGCCCTAAACCCTAAAAACCCTTCACCGCACCTCCTGTGCCAGGCCCAGCAATGGAAGGAGCAACTGGAGGCCATGAAGGCACCCACTTCTGCCCCCCACCTTCTACCCCCCCCCCCGCTTCCCCCAGATATGAAAGCCGATGTAGGGCTTAGGGCTTAGGGCTTAGGGCTTAGGGTTGAAGGTCCTTTCTAGCGTCAGGCGGCGCGGCTGCAGGAGGAGCGCGAGCAGAAAGCCAAAGAGGCCAGTTTCCCCCTCTACCCCTTTTTTGGTTATGGATTCCCTTTTAAAGTAACCAACCCAAAAACAGGCACCCTTATGTTGATGTGGTTGCTGGGCTACCAAGTTAAGGTAGAATCACAAGTGCGCAGCAATTAGATGTAGCCGTGGGCACTCTTTGCAAAATCCAAATGAGGGTCAGCGTTCTCAAAGCTTTTCCAGCTCAAACTCCAGCACGGTCCCAACAGCTTGCCTTTGTGTGGAGATTCCCGAACCCACACCCGCCAGAGGCGTGGTTGAAAGCAAGCAGGAACCGTATTCCACGAAGCGGAAATTTGCCACACCCCGGCAAACACAGAAATCAACATGACACGAGTCACAACAATAACGCTGTACCTAACACTAGCAAACACAATCATCACCGTCATGGTGCTTCACAACAACAACAGATATGGCCATTATGGTGATGGAGAGAAGAATCAACCTGGAACCTCGCCCTCTCTCCGCCTTGAAAATGCGGAGCCTTTCACTGGGAATTGCGCCGCCCCTTCATCACCCTCTCCACCTCGAGTGTTTATTTTAGAGCTTCTGATTCTAGACCAAGGAGCTACGCAAGCTGCGGGGCCGTGCGTTCAGGGAGAGTGTCAGGGGAAAGTGAGCCTTGAGTCTGACTGTCCATGCCGCACGTCAAGTACCTTTGTGCGAACTGCGTCCGATTGTGAGGGTTGAGGGTTTAGAGTTTAGGGCTTAAGGTTACCCACAAAAAGTCCGCTGCCCAAAAGGGTTACACAAACCAGTCAAGACCGGAAGTACGCTGAGCTCTGCGAACTCTATCGGTCGGGTTGGGGGTGTAGGGAGTCCACAGTGGGGGAACTCCGGGGTTCCGAAGCTCAACCCACAGTGAGTTTCCAGGTCACCAGGACAGCCTTGAGCTGAGGACAGCTGAAACCAGGTCCCTAACAGGGGATTCGCAGGAGACCTGCTTTGGGCTCTGTTTCAGATGCCCCCGGTGTCTCAGTCACAGTCGTCCCTAAACCCTAAACCCTAAACCCTAAACCCTAAACCCTAAACCCTAAACCCTAAACCCTAAACCCTAAACCCTAAACCCTAAACCCTAAACCCTAACAAGAGCCAGGCTGCACAAGAGCAGATGGTCGACTCCCTAGCTCCGAGGGTGCACAGGGCCACTTTCGCATGGTGGGCTTCTTCCCTTTAGGGTTTAGGGTTTAGGGTTGGGTTTACAGGGTTTTGTGTTTTGGGTTTTGGGTGAAATCCTTGCCCATGTGTTGGGATGTTCCCCCATTTTCTAACAGCCCTTACTTGGGGGTATACTAGGGGGTACAAAAATGCCTATGAAGGACTGTTAGTATAAGGGGGAACATCTCAACCCATGTGTGTTGTCAATCATCCTTACTGACTCCCAAGGGGTAGAGACACAGAAGGCTTAGGAAAGAGAGCGCGTGAAACATCCGCCTGGCAAGTGTGCCGACAGAAGGTACTGCAGCTTCACCCCAGTGTCATGCTGAACCCCCTGTCGGAAAGTTCGACGCATGGTACCGGATTCATGAGCCACCTGGCGCGGCTGTAGTCTCTACCACGTTGCTTTGAAGTCCCCAACCCTAAGCCCTAAACCTTAAAGCCATGCTCTCCAGTAGCCATTACCCATAATGAGATGAGTTTGAGTAGCGGGCCACGCTCTGGCCTCATGATGGGGACACACCCCACACACCAAATATACCTGCAAAAACCGAGATCAAAAGCTGGGAGATCGAAGTCCAGCAGATGAAGGCGCTTCCTAGGAGAGCCCGTAAAACCCTCTGAAACAAGTAATCCTGAATTATGATCCTCTTAAGCCCAATAAGGGAGATGATGAGATACCCCCTGCTTCGTGGTGCAGATCTTCGGGCTTGTTCTGGCGATGTCTGGGAGTTTCGGGCCAAAGGCTTCACCAGCTTAACCTGCAGCTCTGTGACGTCAGGTAGAGCGCAACGAGGCATTGTGCAGCGCTCAGTGGTCTTTAGGGTTTAGGAATTAGGTTTTAGGGTTTGTGGTCAAAAGGGTTCCGGGTTAGTTTAAGGATTCAGGGGATTTCAGAGGTGCTTAGGATGCTGCAGCTCCTTCATGAGGAGATGAAACAGACCCTCAAGGTTTGACCAGGAAGTGGGCAGATGGCACAGGCAAGCACCCACTGCCCAGCACCACTTTCCCAAGGAAACAGACAAGCAGGTTGAGAGATCCTTCAAGGAATTGCGAAGCCAAAGTACTTGTGGCCTTTGCAATCTGCGCCGCAACGATGCACGTGGGGGCCTGTTCTAAACCATGGGCCCTTTTTTGGTACCCTATATGCACTCCGACATACAAGGAAAAGGTCCGAGTCGAACCCCGCAACGGGATCGAATTTCGAGCCACCTCGACCCTAAACCCTAAACCCTAAACCCTAAACCCTAAACCCTAAACCCTAAACCGCAGCCAAGCAGCTTCTGAGAGCTTCCTGCAGTGCGAGCCATGGAGACGCCATCTGCGGAGGTCCTGCAGCGCTTGTATCGTCTAGAGGCCCATGGGCTCCATGTTCTAGCAACTCAAGGATCTCCATATGGCCTGCATTCTTAGGGTTTGGGGTTCAGTTTGTATTCTTAGGGTTTGGGGTTTAGTCTGTATTGTTAGGTGTATTCTTAGGGTTTGGTGTTTCGTCTGTTTTCTTAGGGTTTGGGGTTCAGGGTTTAGGGTGCCCCTAAAACCCCCGAAGAGCGAAACAATGGCTTAGGCCCCGTGCCTTGACAGCTTCGCGTGAGGAAGTGGTCCAGCGACAGGCCACCGAGAACGCGCAGCTCCATGCAGCATCCTACAATTTTAGGGTTTAGGGTTTAGGGTTTAGACGAGTTACGAATAGCGTTCCCTTGTGGTTCCTATGCAACTATACTGTAATGTCCCCCAAAGCCCTATTTTGATTCTGAAGGCGCCTATATTGGATGTCACAGGTGCGCTGTGACCCTCTCACTAAACCCTTCCCACAATGTAAGACCCCACATCCGTCTACAGCCTCCCCTAGAACCAAAGGGCGGATCGGCTAGGGGCGAAAAAGAATTTGTATGTAAGTATAAGCAGGGGTCCTCCTTGCTGCTGACTGCTGGAGGTTGACCCGCTGCGAAAGCCTTAAACCCCCGAGCCGCCAAAGCCCAAAGAATGTGCTTGCATAAGCTGCGAGCTTGAGCGACGACAGCCTTACTGAAGCACCTCGTGGGTCGGCGGTTGGCCCCCCAAATAAAGCACCTTTGTAGCCCAGGTTGCGCTCCGAGTTGGGATCACTGAAGGGGCGCCTGGCGAGCAGCTCGGTTGCTTTTAAGGGTGTCTTGGTAAGGACCCTGCAAGAGGGACCCTTAACTGGCACCCACCCCCAGGTCGGGCGATTGCTGTTGTTAAGAGAACATCATGCCGAAGAAGACGCGCTGCAGCCACTTCCGGCAGTCCTCTGTAACCTGCGCGGCATCCGAAGAACCTAAGCTCCGGGCTTGTTGAGGGGGCTTCCGGCCTTAAGTTTACATGGGATTTTCGGGAGGATGGCAATTTTCAGGACCCTAAACCCTAAACCCTAAACCCTAAACCCTAAACCCTAAACCCTAAATAAACCCAGAAGCCCTCTGCCCGCCGACGCGCAGGTTTGGAGAGCACGGCTGCTGGGCAGGAAAGTGGTCATGACTTCTGAGAGGAGGGTTTAGGGTTTGGGGTTTAGGGTTTGGGGTGTGGGGTTTGGGGAGACATTTGACAACGCTTACCTCTCGCGCATTCAGAACGGAAAGCTCCAGCGGTTTTGGCTTTTTAGGTTCTTCAGCAGAAGAACCTTAAAATCTAAACGAAACCTACAATTGGGAGGGGGTTCAAAAGATAATCGGCTGGTGTATGTCTTGTCGTAGCTCCAGCACTGTCAAGCTTACTGAGTTTGTATGGCCTTTCAGGTCAAGGGCTACATGGGAATATGGAAGCCTTGAAAACTTGCACCAGAGTGTCGAGATTTGGACACGGGTATCGAGGGCATGTCTCAGTTGCTCCTGCTTTCTGGCTGACTCTTGCTGGGCACAGCCCTTTTGAAGATGGCAGCCCCCAAGTTGGCAGCCGGAGTGCGGCCCAAGCAACGCTCTGCCGCTCTCTGCGAATCTGCTCTCTGAGAAATTACTCGAACTAAAACTCCAAGCCTCCAAACCCCCAAAGCCTCCACTGGAAACCCCTGCCTGCTGTGCCAATCCTCGAGGCTGGCATCGCCGAGGAGGGGCTGGGAGTCGAAACCCTCTAAACCCTAAACAATAAACCCTAAACCCTAAACTCTAAACCCTAAACCATAAACCCTAAACCCTAAACCCTGTCTACCCTCCACCAACCCTAAACAATAAACCCTAAACCCTAAACTCTAAACCCTAAGTGCTTCGGTGTTGTTTGGAACCCGGGCTCCTCCAGGTTCATTCAAAGGTCGGTACTCGCAGGCGAGTGGTACCCTTTTTGCCCATTGTTTGGTTCAAGGTTCCCTTATAAAGTAACCAAAAGGGCACCCTGATTCTAATGTGCTTACTGAGCCACCAAAAACGTATACTGTACGCATGGAAAGTCCTCCTCAAAAAAGAACAGAGGTTGCTGCTTCTAGGTTTCTGCGGTAGGAAAAGGAACCGAAGATGGCTCGTGCACTTGACTCGATCTTTGCTGCATGGGCTGAATTTCAGAATCTACCATAACCTTCTTTTTTTCTTCTTGAGGGGTTCAAAGAGCAGCGATTCGGTTACCTCGGTGCTTTCTGCCGCAATTCTCGGCACCATCATCAAGCAGTGCCTCCGCCTTTCAGCGACATCAAAGCAATGCTTGTGCAGACACAAAACGCAGAGGTTCCACGGTCCAAGACCATTTGATTGGCTTGAGGGTTGAAGTGCACAGGAGAACGTCCGTGTAAGCTTGCCAGCTGCTGTGGACCAACGTGACCTTGTCGAATCCGTGCAGGCTCTGGGCAACATTGCAGGTTGCTGGGATAAGCGCGTCACCAGGGGAGAGTTGAGGGGCACGACTTTTTGGCAAGTCTCGGTTTTGTTCCTTGTTGATCTGCGCTGCCCTGCAGACAAGTGAAGAGAGTGGCGGGGTCCAGTGCTGTCTCGAACCTTGGAAGCACGAGCTTCCGGGACTGTTGGTCTCAGTGCTCAGGCTTCACGATAGCTTCAGGACAGCAGGGCCAACGCCCTGTTCACGATCTGGTTTTCAACGCTCACGTCGTGGACTTCACAAGAGATGGTGCGAACCCGACCTTTCGAACCTCAATAAGTCCTGAGATTTTCAAGCCAAGGAAGCAGGCGGTTGGAAGGCGGATTCTGCCAACGCCCACCACAGGACGCCTTAGGGGGCGGGCTTGCGCGGTTACCCGGGGGTGAGGGAGATCAGAGTTACCCTAAACCCCAAACCCTAAACCCTAAACCCTTGAAGTCATGGAAAGGATCACACCTGTTGAAAGAAGCTCGTCTCAGGAGGAAGCTCACCACCAAGTCCATCATCGACACCCAGACGCACCATGATCTTCAGGTGGCGCAGGGTGCACGGCACGATGTCATTGTGTGATACTTGGAGGTTCATGGGTAGTTGGCTTTAGGGTTTAGGGTTTAGGGTTTAGGGTTTAGGGTTTAGGGTTTAGGGTTTAGGGTGATAAGTATGGTAGCTCGACTGAGAACCCTATTCACCCTATTCAGGGTACTTATGTCCCTACTTATCATGCCCATAAACCTTCAAGATTGTGCTTGCGATTCGCATTGTTTTCATGGAATCCTTGCCCAGCGCCTCAAGTCCTGGAAAGCGCTTCGTGTAGGGAGGAGCCAAGTGGGCTTACATGACATCCGGCATCGGAACTCATCTGGGGGTGCCAGCTGCCTTCAACCCTAAACCCTCAGCCCTCAGCCCGTGGAATATAGCTAGACGGGTGGGAAAAGAGCCCTCAACCCTAAACCCCAAACCCTCAACCCCCCTCAACCCTAACCCCTAGGGTTCTCGAAGGTGAGTTCGGCCGCCAGGAGCTGGAATGGTGAGATCTCCTTGTAAACTTTGTAAACCTTCCATGGTGCGAGAACTGCTCGGGGGTCCCAGAGCACACACAGACCATCATCGACCCCAAACCCCTCGAGAAGCCCACAGCAGTGACCTCGCCTTGGTGGCAGGAGTCGTTTTGGGATGCGCTATTGCTTGCAGGCTTCCTGCCGGCAAGAGCTGGGAAAGCGGGGGGGGGGAAGGTGGCGAAAGCCGCAGATCAGTCAAAGGTAGCCATTGGACCTGTTTCGATCCTCTGAGAACAGAGCGTGTAGTCAATTGACCTGAAGCCACGTTCCACTGACAGTAAGTCCAAAACAGGATCTCAAGATCGAAAGGCTTAGAAATCAAAAGCTCTTGGAGCAACCGCTCTCAGCTTGTGAGCAGGTCTTGGGGGCACAACCCCCAAAACAATAAAACATGATCATCCCTGAAAAACCCCTTATGAGGAAGAATATGTTTTTTTGGGGAGGTGGGGGCGGGGGGGGGGTTCTTGGTTGAGAGCTTTTTCTTGCCTTGGGGAGTTGTCGGCAGCTCTCAGGCCTTGATGAGATCGGACCGGCTGGAACCGTGATCATCACTTTGGGCGTTGTCGTCCTTTGGCACTAATGGCTGTTGGGTCCACAGCCCAAGCCTTTTGAGGCCTTTGGCCCTTCGGAAACAAGCAGAGATCGCACTAAACCCAAGTCCTAAGCCCCAAACCCAAACCCTTTTCAGAGCCGAAGCCCTAAACCCTAAACCCTAAACCCCAACCCCAAATGGGCTTCCGAAAATTCCGAACATCAGCACAAGGTCAGCTTCAGCTTGCAGGTCCTGCTCCTGGGCGTGAAGAGACTCAGCCCTGCACCCGATTCGAGGCCCTACTATAAGCCTATAGGATCCTGAGTTGGCCCTTATTCCTTTTTTGTTTTGTTGGGAGGGGGGGGCGAGGGGGGGGCAGGCTTTGACCAGGA